ATCTCAGCTATCCAACCATAGCACCTAAAACCCTTTCAACAAAAGGAAGAAGTATTGAAAAATAATCCATTATTATTACGTTAAATTTTACTCTCAAGAGTAACAAGCCACAGAGATCCAAACACAGACAAAAAGACCAGTACAAAAGTGTTTCCTGCTTATTGTTATAGGATCTGACTGGGCTTAAAAGAAAAAAATTTAGTAGCGCAGTTTTGAATATTATGTGTACAACTGCCTCCAAAATCTTCAGGCAGTTTTGCAGGAGCTAGCTACCTGTAATTGAACAGCTTTACGCATTTGAGAAACAATCAACCTCTACAGTTAAAAGTTTTACATTTATAAAATATATTCTATACACCTTTAAAACAAGAGAATAAGTATAGGGTGTATTGCTACATTTCCATTTAGATAACCATTACTGGAACTCAGTAATAATCCCCAATGGCACACTGAAGACAGTAATACACAATTATGCTTTCTGAGCAACTTAATAGATGTTCTTTAAAGAAATATTAAGGGAGTAAAAGGTTCCTAATGCGAAGTGCTCAAAACATTTTAGAAGCTATGTGTGTTTTTGTGCTAAAAGCCAAGTAAAAAATCTAGGATGAGAGGAATTAAATGGAACATGAGCAGGGCTAAAAGCAAAAGAGGGTGTACAGAGTTTTAGAAAGTACATACAGAATGTGGATTAACAAACATTTTTACAAAGCAATTATCACTTAGCATCAAAGCATAGTTCTGAAGTCTGTTAACAGCCATTACAAGTTTGTTCTTATCCTCCCACCTAAGTAGAGCCATAGGCATCAGAGTTTCTTGTTTCAGTACTATAAGGCTTTGATGCTCCCAGTTTTGTTTTTATGTCAACAGAAGTAAGTTCAAAGCAGTGCAGCTGATACACTGGGATGGTGCCAACATTTATGATGGTTCTTACTTCCTAGAGATCACTCCATATCCTAGATTAACCCATGAGAAAATGCAATCTCCTGTGCAGATCCTATACAATGCTGCTACAATCCCCAAGGGCTGTTTTCCAAGTGTTTGGGTATCAAGCCCAGCCTTTTTCAAACACTGACAGAAAAACAACAGCTGTTGTGACAATAAGTGTTTTCTGGTACTTGCTTCTTAGAGTACATAAGATTTAGAAAGCACTACAACAAGCTTCAATAGGAATGGGCTTCCAGGCCTCAAAAAGCAGAAGTAGCTTCTCCCAGCTCAGTAGGGAATTATCTATTTTCCCTATACGAATAAGGAGAGAGTATTTGTATTTAAATATTGTTACCAGTCAGGCATCCATATTCAACAACAGTGCCAGGTCACAAGCAAGACCTCTGCAAAGCTGGAAATCTGCTAGAATCACAGCTTTATGAAGACTGTTGTACAATTAACACAAAGCAAAGTGTTTTATATAAAGCTGCAAAACAAGGAAAAGGTTTTCACACAACAGAAGCATAAAGTCTGGCAGTACAACTTAACAGGCAACTGAGCCAATCTAATTGTGGCATTAGAAGAACATGCTTGTTTGCTCTGAACCTCATCAGACCCATGGTTTATTTAATGCATTAAAAGAACAGAACACTCCCCATTTTTTTGCTAAGTGAGTTTTTTTTGTTGTGCTGGTGAATTGATGCAGCTTAGAGCCAAGCACTGGGGCCTGCAAGTTAAATGATGAAAGAAGGTGGAGAGGAGGAATTCAGCTCACCTGTGTTTCAAGAAACTGCAGTGTGAGTGATTGAGCCAACCTAGTGGCTCATTCTTGTTTGTTCCTCCCTGCCTCTGTCCCAAAACTCACCTGGATGCCCCATACACTTTTTCCAGTTTCATTAGCTCTATCAGCTGATTTGGTCACCTGAATCTCAGGGAGATTTATCAGACACCAGGAGCTGTGTTCCTTGAAGAAGGAATGAATGAGCTATGCCTACTCTTACAGCACATATCATGCAAGACACATAGCGGAGTTCCCAAGAGCTGGAGTATGCTCTTTCCCATGCACTGCACCAATCAATTTGGAGACCATCAACAGCAGACAGCAAAACTGCACACAAAGAAAACATCCCTTCAGCAAGCACCGTACAGTGGAGAGAGTTTCATATTCACAATGCAACAATTCCATGAGACTAAATTGTCAACCACTACCTTAATCCAGATTTCAGACAGTCTTTTCAACTCTTCAGACCTACACCATAGAGCACTCTGATTTTAAATACAGTTTCTGTACCACCTCAATTCAATATTCTGCTGAAAGCTAGTATAGTGAAGACCAGCTAGATCCAACATGCTCACTGCAGATCATGTTACTATATTCTTCATTAGACAAAGGCTCATGTATATCTGCTATTGTTAAAGGACAACTGAGAGGTAGCAATGCTATGAAGGAATGGTTAGAATGAGAGGGAAGTTAAATGAAAAGTGAGGACTCAGATACCAAAGCAAGGTCTAAGTGCAGATTGTACTTGGATCTATAAGAACACACCCCTCTTTAGGTGTTCCCAGATGAGGGCCCAGATTTGGGAGAGCCATACTTCACTAGCCAAGTGTCATGGTTTAACCCCAGCCAGCAACTAAGCACCATGCAGCCGCCTACTCACTTCCCCCCCACCCAGCAGGATGAGGGAGAAAATCAGGAAAAGGAGTAAAACTCATGGGTTGAGATAAGAACAGTTTAACAAAACAGAAAAGAAGAAACTAATAATGATAATACTAATAAAATGACAACAGTAATAATAAAAGGATTGGAATATACAAATGATGCACAGTGCAATTGCTCACCACCCACCGATCGATGCCCAGTTAGTCCCCGAGTGGTGATCCCCACTGCCCCCAGTTTATATACTAGATGTTACATCACATGGTATGGAATACCCCATTGGCCACTTTGGGTCAGCTGCCCTGGCTGTGTGCCCTCCCAACTTCTTGCACCCCTCCAGCCTTCTTGCTGGCTGGGCATCAGAAGCTGAAAAATCCTTGACTTTAGATTAAACATTACTTAGCTGCAACTGAAAACATCAGTGTGTTATCAATATTCTTCTCATATCTAACTCAAAAACATAGCACTATACCAGCTACTAGGAAGACAATTAACTCTATCCCAGCTGAAATCAGGACACCAAGCTGTTCCTTCTCCCTATATAAATCAGAGTTTAGAAGCAAATGTGGACACTACCTCCCCCTGCCCAGGGCGGGGGGAATATCCTATTATCCTATCTCAAGGAGGGAGATAAAAATATATTCCAAATAAGCCCAACAGCACTAGGACAAGAGTAAGTCACTGATAATGAGTACAGCTGGTGCACAGCAAATGCACACAACAGCTCATTATGAGAGCTGCCAGCTTTGTTCCCCAGAATAACCCCATCCATCAGTCACTGGTGTAACACGGTAGTACAAGTGCATCAGAGCACTCCTCTCTGCCTCAAGATGAGGATGATGTACCATACCGACAAATGCAAGTACAAGAAATGTAAAAGTATTGCAAAATACGAGGTATCCAAACAAATTTTAAATGAGCCAGCTTGGCTAACAGAAACATATTAACAGCATACAGTAAATTCACTTTTTGCTGCAGCAGAAGGACTGTTTCAGCACTCTGGCCAGCCTGTTCAAAGCTTGCTCAAGCGTGTTAGCACTGTTCCACTGCACAGACATATTAAATGACTTGCTTACACAAGGGAAGTATGCTGCGATGCATGGAGCTGAAGCCAAGATCTCCCAAGTATCCACTTACTCAGACTATCTCACCTGCTGTCCTTTCACACTGTGATGTGCTCACCATTTCTCAACTAATGGTTCAAACTGACTCCATGCTAGTTCTTGACCCATTCTTATATCTTATTAATTTGTGGGGCCTACACTGGCACTACCAGTCCACTTGAAGCATTAACAGAGATGCCAAAATGCACAGGGCATGTGTGAGATAAAGAAGGGATGATGCAGGAAAATATGATGGAGGAAAAGAAAAAAGGGGATGATGCAGAAATAAAAAAGAACTGGCAGCCAGAGCATTCTGTAACTGAAGATCACTGGCAAGGAATCAGTAAGGAGACAGATATGGGAAAAGTGAAAAATTAGACTGTCGCATTAAAACGTTACATCAATAATACCCAAGAAGACATAGTACCCTCCAAGTTACCTAACAAACCATTAAGAACTTCAAATGACACTTCAACATTTTCAGAACACAAAACACCTGAACTTAAAATACAAAAGCTATGTACCATGCAATGCAATACCTAAAAATCCACTCCCTCCCGTATCAGGAATACATGCCTAGTTTGTCGCACCCTTAAAAATGTATCCCACAAAACTTATTACTACTCTAAGTAATGAGAATGCAAGACTCAAGACAGGCTATGGGGTCAGGTTCAGCACAAATCCCCTTTCTTTCCTGCTAACTGCTTTCTCAGAGTGACTTTTGTCAGTCTGGATGAACCCAAAGCCAAGAGCCATCCCTGTTGTGAAGATCCCAGCCCCAACCCCAACTGTTGGCCTGCACACCCTTCCCGAAGGGCTGCCTGGAGAAGGCTGCTGGCCCGACAGAGACCCAACTGCGGGGAATACACTGTTAACTACAAAAAGAAGAAAAATAAACGACCGCAAACCCCAAACAAACCCAAACATACATAAATACTGCTAAATCACTAAGGACACACAACATAGACGTGGGGAGGCGGCCTGGGGTACGAATGATGCCGTCTTCTTTCCTCCAGAAAAAGCGGGCCGCAACTTGGTCATTAACACTCTGCCAGGGAGGGCTGCGGCACCCTCCTCCAGCTGCCGGGCAGCCCAGGTTCTGCTCTGGGCCGCTACTAGCCACGAAAGGCGACTCTCAGACCGAGAAACACCGTCCGACCAGGCGAGGCCACCAGCATCACGGACCCCGCCAGGGCCCTCGGACCAGCTTTGCCCGTCACCGCTCTCTGCCCGGCTGCTGCCCCCCATCCCGGCAGGGCTCCCCGCCAGGGCGCGGGGCCCAAGGAGCTCCCAGGGCCGGTGCAGCCCCTCACCTGCAGCAGAAAACATAAGAGCAGCCAGGCGCGGAGCCAGGCCCGCCGCGCCGCCATCCCGGTCCAGCTGCGCCGCCGCCCGCTTTGTTTCCGAGCGGGGCCGGGTCGGACCCCTTCCGCACCGGGTAACCTAGCAACTCCGCCCCGGAAGTCCCGCCCCGCGCCCGTGAGCTGCTAATGGGCTTCGCCGAGGTCGAACGTCACTTCTGGCAGCGGCGAATGAAATGGCGAGCGTCGGCGGAGGTGGCGGCGGCGCGGGCAAGATGGCGGTGAGAAGCGGGGTTTCTGCGGGTGCGCGGCCTTATGTGAGGAGGCGAGCGGGGCCCGGAGCGTCTCTCGCTGATCGTTGGCGGCCCAGGGGTGGGCCCGGCCCGGCCCCTGGGGGGGGATTTATGGCCGCGTGTGTCCGCGGCGGTGCCGTAGAGGCCCGGCCGTCCTGTGCTGCCGGCCCGCTGCCGTGCCAGTCGGCCTGTCCTCATGCTCTTCTTTCGCGTGGAGCTCTGTCTTGGGGCGGTTTCCGTGGCCGTGTTACAAACAGCGCAATAAAAAGAAACGTTATGGAGGATATATGTAACCGGGGGGAAGGGTGGGGCAGGGGAGGGTTCTTTCTAATTCAGATTGTCTTTGCTCCTCGCCTTTAGGACAAGGAGAAGAAGAAGAAGGAGAGTATTTTGGACCTCTCCAAGTACATCGACAAAACGATCCGAGTGAAATTCCAAGGTGGGAGAGAAGGTAAGCTGGCGGTCGGCCCCGGACCGGGGATGAGGCATGTGCCTCTGCAGCATGAAGCTTACTTTGCGTTTTGGTGTTTTGACTCGGTCTTTGCTTGTCAGCTTTCGTCTCCTGTGTTGCTTGCTTTCAAGGAAAGATGATGAGTAGCAGGTGCTTTTATTTGTTCCTGTTTGCAGTTACAGGTGTGACGCTTATTTCCTTTAACTTTTCCATTAATCCCCTGGCTGCAGTTTTATCTTTGTTTCATCCGTGCACCTTTTTTTCATCTTCTTTTATTAGTTGTCTTCAACTGTCTTGTTTCTTCTGGCTGTTTTTTCACATTGCAAGGGTGCACTTAAAGCAGCAAAGAAACGTTTATGGGTGTTACTGTTGTCCGAAAAGCAGATTTGTCACCTGGTGTGTGATGAGCCAGTAATCACACACTCGGGAGAGACATTATTTATTTAATATTTGTGCAAAGATGGGTGCTATGTGGTAATTCCACAAAGCTAGCATACCCTGCAGTTAAGCAAGCAATTTATACAGTTTTAGATTCACCCACTTAGTTTCCAAAGTCCTTCCCCCAAATCATTATTGGTAGTTGCTTATCTGCCACCATTTCTATTGGGCTAAGGTTTTTCTCTGCTTCAAGTTAAAAGTACAGTGTTCTTTTATTCTACAGCACATGCTCAAGGAGGTGGGGTGGAGGTAAGTTTTTTAGGTCTTGAGTTGAGTTGGTGGTCTTGATCTTCCACCTGCTGCCTTTACTTTTCCCCTAGTTCATGCTGGTTTGGCAATCATCTGGCCTTCGGTGCCTTCTGGAGCAGGATGTTTCCTTTTCATCAGCGTTTAGTTCCTTCTTCAAGGGTATACTTGCTGGCAAAGCCTGCATCGTTTATACAAAGTAACCAGGCCTACACAGTGAAACTACTGCGTAATGGTCCTCCTTAAAGGACAATGCATCATGTTTAACCCTAAACTGAGGTGTATCACCACAGTTAGGCCATAACATTTGACTACATTACGATTAGTACACCTGTCATCCCTTTCATCTCTTAACATACTAAATGTGCCTGGAGTTCATTGATTGTTTCAACATATTTCACCATGTCTTTTCATCACTTTCGAGGGTTTTGCATCGTTGTTCCCTGCTCCCCCTTACTTGCTCCCTCACCGTATCTACAGCTATCCATCCCAGTGCAGCTGATAGCGCCACCTGCAGACTACTTGTTTGTCTGAAAGTTAACAGCATGCTGCATGGAAGATGCTCGGCAGAAGCTTTTGCAAAGAAAACTTGGTTTGCTTTTAAAAATGTCTTTTAAAACTCCACTGGGACCTGCTGCTTGCGAGGTTTTGGAAGTTACTTGGATGCCTTACTGATAAGTGTGGGTTTTGGGGGGGTTTGGGGTTTTTTGTAGTTTTGGGGCAGTTGACAATTCCATTGAATCTATTGGTTTAGATTTTCTTCTCAAAAAATTCATGCCAAGTTCCTTTCTGATCTTCATAGAACACCTGGGATTGTAAGAGTCTCTTCATTGATTTGGGCTGTTAGCAATGATAGTAATGCTGGTAATCAACAAGTATTTTTCAACTTGGGAGATCATTCTGTGTAGTCTTGTGATTTATTTAGTGCCCAGTCTTGTGGAATTGTACTCTTTTGGGACAAAGTGCTTGTCTGTCTGCAGTGCATTCCTATGAAGGCAGTGCTTATGCTAAAGGGATTATATTCTAGGAGGGCACCCGGAAGATGGGTTTTGTGAGGAAAACACTTCAGAATTTTATCTTGCCTCATTTTTTGCCATATCCCTTTGCTAAGGGTATTTATTTGGTTTTGGGGTTGTTTTTTTGGTCGTGTGGCTTTTTTTTTTGGTCATGTGGCTTGTATTTATTTGTTATGCTGAAGTCTTCTTAAAATGCCTCTGAAATTGCCTGAAAACAAAAATGTTAGTGTCTTGAAGAGCATTTTGAAGAATTGCTTGAAAAACTTGTAAGTTTCAATTGGTACAAAGCAAATGGGGTTCTTGTGCATTTGCACTTTGATAAAGAAGGCACTGTTTAATCTCTCTGGTCTCATTTGCTTGATAGCCTTGCTTGAAGGAGGGAACAGAGCTGGAGAACTGAACTTGACCTTCATGAAGTCTTGTGTTGCTGTATACCTGGTTTTGGTCTCTAATAATTGTTTTGTGTGTGGTCTTCAATAGCAAGTGGTGTCTTGAAAGGATTTGACCCTCTTCTGAACCTTGTGCTAGATGGTACCATTGAATATATGCGAGGTAAGTAATATGCTATCTGTGTAAAGCCTTTTTTCTGCTTGCACCCCCCCCTCCCCCCCGCTGAATAATTTTCTTAACAGAAATCTTACAGCTCTGTGAGTGAATAACCATAAACTGCGGGTTGACATCAAACTGAGACACATTCATGATAAGTTGTAAAGAAAGGGATAACAGAAGTTAGATTAAGCATATTCACTGTATTGGAACATTCTTGGTAGTCCTTGCTTGAGCTCCTCTATAACTCATTTGCTGCTTTTGTCCTCTAAAGCTTGAATAAAGTAGTGTGTCTCCCTTCAGATAAGGCAGTTGCCTTTGCCTTTATTTATACTGCTGGAGGGTTGCTGTTTTGCTCAAAGGAGGAAAAGCATCTCAGCAAGAACTAGTATCTTACTGTCTTAAACACTACTTTAAATGCACTCTTTGCATTTCTGTGGAACTAAAGCCTTCTATAGCTTCTTAGATCTAATAGAGCCGTAGGGCTTTTTTTCTTATTATTTTTTTCTTTTTCCCATCCAAGGATAAATATTCCCATTTCCCTTTCTTCTCTCTGAAACAAAACTTATCATATGATAGGTCAGTGTTTTTGAAGAGTATTCTCTTGCCTGCTTACAAGGAAGCATCTGAAGCTTTAATTTTGTTCTCAGAAGGTAGCTTTAAAAGATGATTGTCAAATATATTGACTTCTCGAGGAGGGTAGAATTGGCTATTGTTAAGTGTTTCTCTGTCCCCATCCACAGCCTTGTTTGGCTTGGTCTGGGAATAGACCAGTGCATTCTGAAGTCAGGGTCTTTTTCTGATTTGCATTGATCCCAAAATGTTTGTCTATAATGGCATTTGAAATAGGGTCAGGAGCTTTTTTAATCACTTGTATGTATGCTTTTGGTTAGATGAATGAAAGGACCTTTGAATTCTTTAGAAGACATGTGTTCTGCTTTGCATACAAAGCGAAGTTCTTTGTTGCTCACTGTAGCATGTGCTACTTTTGAAAATTAGTAAATCAGTAATGTCTTGGAAGACATCATGTATTACTGCTGCATCACTTTTATAGTCCATGTGTTCAATAAAACAGTGCAGAGATGCCTGGAAAAAACCCGTATGTCTGTGCCTTTTGAAGTTGATGGAATTTGGCTTCTATTCCTTATGTTGCCATTGTAACTGTTGGTCTGTTTTTCAGATCCAGATGATCAATACAAATTAACAGAAGACACACGTCAGCTGGGACTTGTGGTCTGCAGAGGGACTTCTGTAGTTCTTATTTGTCCACAGGATGGAATGGAAGCTATTCCAAACCCTTTCATTCAGCAGCAAGATGGCTAATGCTTTCTTTGGATTGTCTCTGAAGACTTCAAGGGTGCAAATCATTGGAGAAAACTATCAGTGTGTGAGAAGCTTCCTGTTTTGGGGGAGGAGTTTGAATGTGTATTTGTTAGTGTGAAAGAACAGTCAACTTTTATTTTTGTGGCTTTCCATAAATGATGAGAGGATGGGGCATGGTGTGTAAGAAGTAAGTTCTGATTTTTTTTTTTCCCCTCCTGCAAATAAGTGTGTAACTACATTGTTTAGAGCTGACAGGAGAGAATATATTGTCATGTTATTGTCTGAGACCCTCTTGATCTTATGAGTTTTCAAACAACCACATAAAATTAGTAAAGAATGCCCTGAATATTGGTTATATTATTTACATTTTAAAATACATTAAAAATGTACTTAATCTAAATTAATCTAAAGCCTAAATACATTAGAACATGTTTTTCTTCCTCTTAGATATGTGAGTACTCAGCTGGGAAGCATTGTGTTGTAGTCTTCCCCGCTGTTGAGTTCAGTCTCTTTTGCCTGCTTGCTCCAGCGCATGCAGGAAAACTACTTTCCTTGTATAGTACCTTGTCATCACCTTTACAAGCTGTGTTGCTAAGATCTTTTCTAGCACTTATTTCAGATCTTGTGGGCTGTGATCTGTGTATCAGAAGGTTCACATATTTCTACCGAAGGACTGGACTAACTTCTAGGATGATTCTTGGCTCAGTGACATGAACCTTACAGAAGTATCTCTTTGATAGTTGGAATTTTAGGGGAAGAATATTTAAGATCCTAATGTTCAATTGTAGGCAGTATCTGGAAATACTGCATATTTTTATATTGTAGCTATCTACTTGTGGTTCTGCTTGTTATAACTTGATTTGTAAGTAAACATTTTTATTTCTTTTATACTGCAGAAACAGCAAGATTTGAGGAGTTTTGAGTGAATAAATACAAATTAATCTGTTCCTGAATGTCTGGGTTTTTTTTAGTCTGGAAAAAGTGCTCTACAGCTGACATTGCAGTTCTCCACAGCTGTAAATCTAAATGAAATTTGTTCAGGAGGTATGTAAACACAGCAAAATTGGGAAGGACCAGATCAGAAGCTGTGCTCCACTCTAAGACAGGAAATCAATGAGAAATTAAGAGCATCTGGTCCCTTTTTTGAGGACTTGTGCTTTTCTGTTAGGCATTTTAAAGACTGTCTAGTAGAGGTTATGTGCCTGTAAGCTGTATGTAACCTGCTTCTGCCACCTGTTTTTTCCTGAGGACCCTTTATGAGGAGGATGTGGCAGAGTAAATTGTTTTGGTGGCAGCAGCAGTCTTGTTCCTAGAGGTTGTCAAGAAAACATGCCAAGGACAGGTTGTGTTGGCTGTTCATCTTGGCAACAGCACCATACTCCCATTCATAACCTTTCCTGCGTCAGCTCTGAAATGGATGGGAATTCCAGTTCAGTGTGTCGGACTTCTCCAGGAGGCTATGAAACTAGGAACTAATTGTCTTGTGTGGCATATTGCCTGTGTAAACTTCAGTGCTTCTGGATTTTAATGTCCTAGGAGCTCACTCTTTGAGTGCTTCACAGAGCTGTCTGTAGAGTCATGCTCCTTCCAACATAACTTTTTTTCTAACACCACAAAGCTTGTTCTTCATGCAATTGCACAATTCAAAAGAGTCTCCTTATTTAGAGTGTTTGGAGCAGAATTTGCTCACCATCAGCCCGAGTAGAGTCTTGAACCATCCCTTAGGTGGGAGAGAGATTGCTGGTGGTTGATACCAATAACATGCTGTACCATCTCTGCACTCTCTTGTTTTCTGAGTGTAGTGTCAGAAACAGACCTGCTGAAGCTCTCTTCAGTAGATTGCAGGCTCTAGATGCAGAGGGTACAGAGATCTGCCTAAAGTCATGTGTCAAGTGCATAAACTCTGGCAATGGGCATGTTTCCAGCATTTCCTGCTCAGTTAATAGGTTGCTCAGTCTTCATTGCAAGATACATGGCTGTCCTTTTCTGTAGTGCAGACTTCTGGGTTATATTTGGGAGTCAAGTACCTGAAAATAAGAATATAAAAATGATGGGGGACAAACTTTTTAGCAGGGCCTGTTGTGGTAGGACAATGGGTAATGCTCTTAAACTAAAAGAGGGTAGATTCAGGCTAGATGTAAGGAAGAAATTTTTTTACAATGAGGGTGGTTGACCAGAGAGGTGATAGATGCCCCATCCCTGGAAATGTTCAAGGTCAGGTTGGATGTGGCTCTGGGCAACCTGATCTAGTTGAAGGTGTCCCTGTTCATTGTAGGGGGGTTGGACTAGACCTATAAAGGTCCCTTCCAACCTGAACCATTCTGTGATTCTATAGCTGAATTTTAAATGTGTATATGCTTTTCTATTGGATTAATTCTTAAATGTGACTGTTTATAAATCCATTTGTAACAGCAGTTTTGCAGAAGCCTCTTCCAGAAATGCAGGGGAGAACCTCCAGGGAAAAAAGGTGCTCAGATAGCACTATTCTGCTTGCTGAACTCCACCAAGAAATGGGACTGAGTCTTGCTGGGATGGGCTCTTTGGGATAAGGGGCCCTAGTTCAAGGTCACTATGCAAATCTCTCCACCTAATAGCTTGGTCTAAACACTTTGAGGAATTCACTGTGTGGAATCAGTGAGCTGTTGCTTGTACTATGACTATATCTGTTCAGTGCATTGAGATTAAGGATGACCAAATATGTGACAGCCATCTGGGTTTGAATGGGGGCTCATTCCTTCCCCCATCTCTTACTAAAGTATAAAGTTAAATATATACTAAATACAGCAAGCAATCTGGAATTTGATACTAAACTTGAACTGATGAAGGATGTGGCTTTGGGGAAATCAGTTGTTTTTCCCAGAAGTCGAGCTTTCCTCTGTTTTTGATCTGCAGAAGTGTAAAGTATTGTAATGGATACTTTTTTCCAAATGGGTTCAATGTTCTTCTACAACTTCTTGATATTTAGTCAGTGCTTAGGAAGATTGTTGTTGTTTTTCCTCTTTCTTCCTCATAGTCCAGGCTCTTTGCTTGGCTAACAGCTCTGCTAATTCACTATCATCTTACCTGGCTAAGGTAGATGCCAATTAAATCTGCGGTTTTTTTGGTTATACAGCTCTCCTGCTATTGCTGCTGTGAAAGCAGCAGGAAAGACTGAGGAGCAAAGCGGGAGGGTAGAAAACATACTCTATTTTTAGGACAAGATTGGCTTATCTTGTATTTATACTACCTAGGGGGATAATGTTTCCAGAGACCTCACATGAGTAAAGGCTGCATAAGGATTGAGTTAATTTTAACTGCCTGGCAGTCAACAAGCATGGAGCCTGCACAAGAACCAGAGGAGCTGGGACCTCAGACAGAAATGATTGCAGACACAGTTCTTGAGGTTGGAGAGAGACTCTTTCAGGTCAGCCGTAGGGTGCTTTCAGTACACAGTCGTTATTTTGAAGCCATGTTTTTTGGGGGAGCGAGAGAGAGCTGTGAACACCACATAGTGATAAGAGGGATTGATGCAGTGCCTTTTCAGGCACTGCTTGAGTTCACTCACACAGCCCAAGTGCTTATAGGTCAAGAAAATGTGACCAGCTTACTGGAAACAGCTGATTTTTTTCAGTTTGACAGGGTGAAACTGTTGTGTGAGAAATTTCTGGAGAGAGAGCTGGATGTTTCCAACTGCCTGGGCCTGATGACCTACTCGCAGCAATTTGCCTTTATGGAGCTGTATGCATCTGCTATGAATGTGGCTCTCACTCACTGGGGGGATGTGATGTGCCAGGAAGAATTTAAGGCACTACCCAAAGAAATGCTGATGCAGCTCATAAAAAGCGATGACCTCTTTGTTTCACGAGAAGATGTGGTTTTTGACAGTATTATGAGGTGGATAATGGAGGACCCAGCAACGAGGGAAGAAGACTTTCTGGATTTGGTGGGTGAAGTCAGGGTCACTTTCCTGAGTTTGTCCTTCCTTGATGCCTTGGTGAAACGCAGCAAGTACCCTGGAGAGATGGATACCTTTTCCAGAATAATAAAGAAGTTAGACAGCTGTCCTCCACCCAGCTGGCAAAATACAGAACTGTGTCCTTACGCTGGTCGGAGCTATGACACCTTATATGTCCTGGGAGGAAAGCATGACAAGGAACAGCAAGAATTATTTCTCTTTCAACCTAAAACGGGGACCTGGCAGGCTTGTTCTCCACTGCAGCGCAGGAACCTCACCCAATATGCAGTGGCAGCAGTAGGTAACTTACAGAGAAGTGGGACTGAGCAAATGCAAACAGAAGTTGAGGCTGAGAGACCCAAATGCAGGGAGTTCAGCTGCTTCTCCTGTAAAACTGCGTTGTTCAGCATTGCCAAAACCTCATTCATATTTGTGCTCGTATTTGTTCAAAGAGTGATTTTGTTTTCCTTAGTCTTGGGAGAATGTTAGACAACGCTGAATATTTCTTTTCATACAGCAGAAACTATTGAACTCCTTACATTAGCTCTATGTGGAGTGAGTCTAATGACTTCACTGTAGGCAGTGTATTTTTTTGGCCTTCTCTTCCATGGTGGTTTTGACAGATGTTGACTTCTGATTTATAGTTCCCATTAAGTTAAACTTACCCATGGATGTTGTGAAATCTTCATGCTTGGAGACTTTCAAGACGGCTCAGTACCATGGCTTCCCTTATTTAGTGTTGGTGATAGTCCCATTTCAAGTGGGAGTTTGGATGTGAGATCCCCAGAGGTTCTTTCCAAACAGTTTCCATAATTCTGTTCAAGAGTGGGAGCAGACTTGGAAGGACTTACTGCATCCTGTAGACACAGCATATCTGTGTAGATGAGGAATCAAATACTGCAAACTGATACAAAGAGCAGTAATTTTCTCTGCTCATCTTGCACCTCATTGGTACAGCCCAGGAAGAAATGGGGCAGGAGCAATTTTCAGCCTTCATGTAACTGATACTTTCTCTGCTGTCTTTCCAGGGAGCTTCCTTTTTGTGACAGGAGGGTATTTCCGAGATGAGTTTGTGTGGTATAGTGTGGATTGGGTGCTTATCTACAATTGCTTGGACAATAGCTGGCTGGAAGGGCCTGCCATGAAGAAGTCCCGCAATAGCCATTGTGCAGTAGGAGCAGGGCTCTACCTGTATGTACTTGGAGGGAGCACAGATGAAGGGATAATCCCAGCAGTGGAGCGCATGGCTCTGACGGAGTCAGAGTGGGAAAGCATGAGTCCTATGGCTCAACCTGTGGAGAGAGGAGATGCGGTCAGTGTGGGAACCAGGATCTATGTGGTCTGTGGCCTGGATGAAAATGGACATGTATATGATGGAGTGCAAAGGCTGAACACGGAGACGGACAGCTGGGATGTCATCTCATTCTCCCCGCTTCCAAGGTAAGAAATAATCTTCTGGGATCTAGCAGGAGAAGAAAGGTTCTACAGCTTTGGTCTTGCTCCAAGAAGAGGTTGGACTGGAGAAATCCAGAAGTCCTGTCCAGCAACATTTCTGTGATTCTCTGTTTAAATGGGACTCTTGATATGAGGACCAAGGTCACACTGAATATTTCAGTGGCCATTGATTCTGATCAAGGGTTTCTTCCCTCCTAGGTATGACCTCTGCATCACATCACTGAATGGTGCTCTGTACACCATAGGAGGGGGAGCTTTTCGATTTGATGTGGAGACAGATGAATGGACCCAGGTGGATGAGGAATGCTTGACCCAGAAGTTCTTCATGGGATGCAGCACCGTGAATGGACGAATTTATCTCCTTGGACAGAGGAAGGGGAACGGTGCCCTCCCCATTGTAGTCCTCTTTGATCCCTACATTGATATGTGCCAGGTTATAGATAACAAACTCCCTTGCCCCCTTCCTATTCATGGATGTGTGTCTGTGCGAAGATTTGATACATAGGCATGAGCGATGCCAGATCCAGCATATCCAAAAAGTCATATGCTTTACAGCTGATGGGAATTAGATTGCATCAAGTTTGGTCTGTGAAATTTTTTAATTTTGAAAATAGATCTGTTCCTTCATAACTTTGTCTTTTTTTTCTACCTGGCAACTGAACTTGAAGCAAAAGCCAGTGAAACCTTTATGTCTACACAAAGGTTGCAGGTCGTTATTGGAAATAGTGGTCAGCATTGTTATGGTACATAAACTCCTCGGGGTCGATGCTAAATAAAGGGCTGCTCTGACCTTTAACCTCTGTGTCTCTCTGTCCTTTGAACAGCTGGGAGAGGCAGGAAAGTCATTGCATCAGTGTTAGAAAAATTGTAGGAGTAAAATAATAAATCTGTGTCAAGGGAATCTTCAGCAAGATGTATGAGCTCTTAGTGCTGTAGGACAGAGCAAAAAAAAACACCCAACAACCAACCACTGCGGTCAAGCCATACCCAGTATCAGTATCGTTTTACCCTGAAATAAGCAAGTTTCCCAGGTTATGTAATTATGCCTAAAATTACCTTTATTCCAGGCTGGAGAACACCACAGAAGGAGAGAGGCTGTTCTGGATTTATGTATTCAGGAATATGATGATAACCATTTGCAAACTGGGGCACTTACTTGAGTCTTGCTTCAGTTTCCCTAGTCCCCTTTGGGTTCATTGCTGTAAGGACCCAGAATAAAAATCCCCATCCCAAAGCACTGAAATGAGGGTGCAAGGAGCAGGGACTTGCATGTAGCCTTAATTAAAGACTGCGTATGAGGAAGAGGGTTTGATGGGCAGGACTAGGGACTGAGCGCTGCAGGAGGGGATAGATAGATCTCCAAGGGAGCTCAGGCCTCCCAAGGATGGAGCAGCTGAGAGAATGGCTGCCACACGAGTCTGCTTGACTGGACAAGAGGGGGAGAGTGCAACAGCAGCGACCTGGGAGGCTGCACTACAAGCATTACTGTCACCTCTTGGTTCTTCGATGTGATGCAGCAACACGGAAAGGAAAATGTACTTAAGAGAGTTCCTGAGCTGAATGATTATCATCTCCAGAGAATGGGAGAGGCCTTAAAAACCCAAAGGTGTTGGTTAAAAGCAATCCTACCACTGAGAACTACGTCAGGGTGCCAGGAGCTACTCTAGGCCTGCAAATGTGTAGCCCTCTCAATCCAGGCTGGCTCGGCTCTAGTCCATCTGTCAGACTCCAGCCAGGCTGCGGCATTGCCAGCTCCATGAGCTGAGAGCAGAATTGGTGCTTCCCCTGTGATGGAGCTGGCAGCAATGAAAAGCTGGGCCTGTTCTTTGAGTCTGATGGCCACTTGTACTCTTGTGCCCTGGAGGCTCTATAAATCTTTTAAAAGCTGAGATTCTCCTGTATGATTTGGGGCTTTAAAAGAAAGCATCATCCCTCAGGGACAGGGTGAAATAATTCATGGGCAAACCCTTACACCAGGTATCCTAATGAAGGGTCTTGCACTCCCAGCAAAGTACAACTAGTCGGAGCTAGGCAACAGGCAATCCTCCTCAAGGCTGGCGTCCCACAGAGATAGGTTGCTGGCTGCCTTTCAGCATTGCTTCCTGCAGATCTGAATGTCAAAGTCCTTCAAGGGAATGCTGGCTCAGTTCCTTCTGCCTTTCTGTCGCACGTCTTTCCTGCCTTTTTCTATATTTTGCCTTGCATAGGTCAGATGTGGGAGATGGACCACGGTACTTCACAGCAGTGTCTTATAGTTGCACCATCCTTCATTCTCCACCTCTTTGCATTTTTCAGAAACAGTTTCCCCTAGTATTTGTGTAAAATGTGTCAGATCCCTTGGAAGCATACTCAAAGCCTGAGTAGAAAAGGTGTTTTAAAGACAGTGTTTTCAGGTTTCTGTGTATTGTTTACAGACATAAATACATGTAGATTTGTCTGTCTGCATTTTCTGAGCTTTTGAGTTGGCAGTGATGTCAGACTTCCAGCAAGTTTCTAAGAAGATTTTTTTACTGACATAAGACCTGATATTCTAAAGAACTTTGGTATCATGCGAAATCTAGGTGAAACAGACTCTTTGGTTTAGGTGTAATCCATTTTCACATCAACTTTAAATTTTATGTTCTACTATAAATTCTGAAAATGACATCAGATACAATATATTACAAGGTGAAAAGTCACCCAACCCCTAAACTATCCCATTAAAATGTTAGTATTGTAACACTCTTATTTTCTGATTTTGAAAATGAAACCTCAACAAAATGAATATATCCCCATGGGAAGTTTCCGTTTAGACTAAATTATAATTTCTGGTGGAAAAGTGTGCATTCGAAAGCATTTCAGTTGCTTTCAATTTTAGGAGCCTTCTCCCGGAGTAGACATTCAGTTAGCAAAATCTTTTAGACACAGGAGCTATTTTGTATAATTTATACAGCAAACACAGCCTGTATCAGTTGGCCAGGACTTATTTGTAGAAATGGTTTATCCTTCCCCAAAGCCTGACCATTTTATACTATACAACTGAAAACTTATTTGCCGCTTACTTAAGCTAGTATCTTTCACGTTCAAGCCCTTTCATGACATGGCTGGCAATGACTGCCAGTATCTTCTGAAACTGCAAGTCAGTTAAATCTTCAGCAGTTGTAATTTATTATCTCATGAACCTTTGGGAAGGTTTTGAGATAACCACAGTTAGGTGTCATAACTTCAGCAGCTTGTTCAACCCCTCTTCTCCTGTTTACAGTGAGACTTTGGCTGGCAGGCCTTTTTTTTTTTCCTGGATAAATCATAGAGTAGTAGTAAAAGAATGGTCGAAATGGGAGAAGGGAAGAAAACATCTCCTGAAGTGACTTAACTGCCTGTAAACACTATAATGAAATTACTTCCATCCAGACATTGGATGATGCCTCAGGCAGACCACTGTGAAGCCATCTGTCACCCTGTCTGGCCTCTCCCCCCAGGGTCCCATTCAGCCTCCCTGCTTTTAAGAATCTGCCCAGCTCTTGGTGTTTTGCAGCAAGACCTGCATTACTCTTTGTTTTGCCAGATCCTCTGCTTCACTCCTGTCACTTTCCTCGGTGTCGCTTCTGGCATCTTTTATTTTCTGTAGGAAAGACATACAATTTAAATGAGCTGTAAAACCTATATCATGGTATATATTAGAGGGGACTAGTCCTGTTTTCTTGCACAGCACTGGTGTGTTAACCTGACAGCTAAAATAAAATAACAGGTGTGATCATGTCCTTAAATCCAGTGTTGAAATTGGCCCTGCATTATTGAGAGGTTGATGTAAACTGCCAGAGGTTGACTTTGTTACAGTTTCACCTAACTTTTGAATGCCTTTTTTTGTCACCCTAATAATGTTTTTGTAATGTGACCTTCTGAAAATTAGTTAGTATTTATTCTAATTATTATATAGTTATTCTGCATATTTTCCTGTGCAGTTTATTACTGTCGAAGCTCTGAAAGTCAGCACGTATTTGTCCAGTGAGCATATTGACTGATCTCCTCATTTTCAATCATCTACACGCTTGATGAGAGTCTGCTCCATCATTTCCTCCAGAAAACCTGTTTTTTCTTTTAATTTAGCTTCAGTGAAGGGGTAGTTCAAGGTAAGCTGAAGACGTAACACCAACACTGTTGTGGGTTTTTTTCTGGCCACAGATCCCCAAAGCCTTCACAAATCTGCTCAGAGGCTACCAAGATGCCATCTGCTTAAGTTAGCAAGGCAAGCCAGGGAACTGGCATCTCTCATGACAAGGTTTCTTCCAATGATCCCTATACAAACTCTGGCATGCATCAAAAGCCTTTGGAATGCACCCAAAACTGAGAGGTGCAAATATGCAGCGTGCTATCTACCAGGCTTAGCTGATTGCTCCTTCCGTACTCCACTTTGGACATACCAACAGGTTCCTATTCTCCCAAACTGCATACTGAGAAACTGTTAGGAAGTGAGGAGAAAGGACCGTGGATAGTCCCATGTCACTAGAACACAGCTGCAAACTAGAAGTGAGCTGCTGCTCTGATCTGTGTGAGCAAAGGTGTCCACACAACTCCCAATGTGTGACTTCAGAAGAGCTCAGGCTGTTTGTTGGGCAGTCCTAGTTCTCCAACCCCTTCCCTGCAGCCATGCAGGAGTCACCAGGGAGCTCATGGTCTCTCAAGTAGTGGTGGCCCAGAGGAAAAACTGAAATTTTGTCACAAAGCAATAGTATGTGCTGTGGGAAAGAGACAGGGAGAGACAAATCAGCAGACACAAGACTAAAGGAGGCCAAGTATCTTCAGACTTAGAAGGATCAAGTGTCTTTCTGGGCAGCTAATTGGCTCATGTGTCCCCGGGGCAGAGCTGAGCGGTGCTAGGTCTGCACCGTCAGGCTTCACACTCTGCCCAGCTCTCGCAAAGAATGTCCCAGGTCCCAGAGGACCTGCAGAAACTCTGTATTAAAATCAGCAACAATGCAATAGTCTTCGCAGACAGATTGGTTATCAGCAACCTGCAATGCTTCCCAGAAGAAGCAGGAACTAACAACATTTCTCCTAAAATAAGTCTGGAGAGAAGCAATGGACAAAAATTAAACCATAAGGGGACCTGCCCACTGGCACTTAGATAAGATTATAAATGAATTTTTTAACTGAAGTTAGGGGAGAGTTGATTGTACAGATAAGCAGTTGGGCAGGGCATTATTTTTGGCAGAAGTCACAGAAATCTCTTATCAGTTACGGGGACAGAAAGGAGGAAAGCACTGGTTTGGAAACGGAGAGCAGACAGAACAGAGAGCAGTTCAGCGCAGGAGAGAAATGATGAACACTAGTATGTGTCCTCCTCTGCAACTTATCTAAGACATGAAATCTAAGACATATTGGAAGCTAGGAAACACTGTGGGATGTAGTGTGTATTTGCTCTGCTCTTGCCTTCCTAGACATCTGCTTCTTGCTGCTGATGCAGACAGGTGCTGATCTAGATGGACGCCTGCTGACCTGGGACATCTGTTATCTTCTTTGTCCTTATGTTATGATACACCAGGCTGAGATGTTGGGGCTTGACTTTTTGCAGTGGAGACAACTGAAGTCATGGTTATTCTAGTTTCTTTCTCAGGAAAGGTGCCTCAAGCTTTTATTGCTTTTCTCTCTAAGGGAGCCATTTCACTACCAGAATCTGGGACTTGCTATGCAAAGTCAGCCTCACAGGCATCCAAACTAAAAGGCAGCAGGACCAAAATTCAACACTCAGCATCTTTAGTGGTGGTAGGGAGCCAGGGCAGGAACAGAGGACAG